TCCTGCTGGTGTTCTCCACCCTCCCAAACAAAAACTCCAGGTACAAATGATACCTAGATCTTGCTTGCCTGAGAAAACTTCGTCTCAATTAGCTTAGTGGGTACCAGGCGTCTTCAAAGGTAGCCGGGCATTGAAATCTGTGGCAGCCGCTGTGGTTCCCTCCAGGCGAGGCAGACACCACACCTCATTCCTCCACCTGCTCGTGGAACAGCAGTTCATGGAGCATGGCCCGGAGACACAATCCCAGACAGTCGTGCTGCATGGGGGATAAAGGCTGCATCCGCTGGTTGGCGTGTGGGCTGCTGCACCTACCGGAGAGCCTTCCCAGCACTCCGCTGTGTCTCCGCACACAGGCGTAAGGCAGGGAAACGTGAGTGTGTGGCCAAGGAAGGATCACTGGTGGATCTGGCTGTGTGGGGGGTCGCAGGCATACCAAATGAGAGCATGCTTCTCCCAGCTGTGGGCTAAATGTTGTGACAGAGCAAGGGTTTTGGTTTCTCTGGGTTCCTTATCTTGCTGCTGTAAGCGTCCTCCTTTCAGCAGTCGTGGGGAACCAGCTCTTCAGGGGGACAGGGTTGTACTGCATTATGGTGCCAGAATAGCACAGCAATGCCACCGCATTTCAAGAAATGCGATGTAAGCGTGATTTATCAAGCCACTGATATACAGGTTTGCTCTTTTTTGGTTCCTCTTCTTGCTTGCAAGAAGGCTAGTTCAAACAGATTACTACTTTGTGTGGAAGTTTATTTTCTTTTTGGGAACAAAATTCTTACATATAAGGTTCACAGTAAAGTTTCTGTTGTATAAAGGGAGTTGATGCCTGCAAAAAAACCCCACAAAACAGTGCTAAGATAAAGTAAGCATGACCTGTCCAGCCCTGGCATGGCCCATGTTGGCCCCCAGGCTGTGCCCGTTTCCTGGTGCCTGCCATTGTCTCTGGGTGTTCTGGGAGACAAGGTTCATTTTTGTCATCCCGTAAGAGGTGAGGGTGTTCAGAAACTAGTGGAAGCCACCGCTGAGCAGGGTGGGATTTGCCATTAAAACAGAGACTCCATTTGCTGCTTTCGGGTTCTGTTTTCTGCTTACAGGGGAGACCCGAGCATCTGGAGGAGTAAAAAAGGAGGAACTTGACAAAGTCCTTTGCTGCTTTTATCTTGGGATGTGGGTAAAACTCAGGCTCCTGTTGTCGTCAGTGGCCGAGACAGAAGTGTGGAGTCTGTCTGTCCTGGCTTTGCCTTCCTAGAAGCCCTGGCTGCTGCAGAAGCTGTTTCCTACTCCCAGAATAAAGTCCTGGTCCTGGTTGCAACATTTAAAGCTGCAGCTATTCAACTGATCTGTTTTCCTTTGAGGATTAATGT